GAAAACAAGGGCCTTCAGGCCCCATGTCAGTTTCAGCCTGAAAGCCTGAAAACAAGGGCCTACAGGCCCCGTGTCGTTTCAGCTTGAAAGCCTGAAAACGAGGGCCTACAGGCCCTGTGTCGTTTCAGGCCAAATCAGGGCCGGAAAGGCCCTGAGTATTTCAGCCTGAAACTGAGGGCCATTTCCAGGCCCTCATCAGTTCGACCAGCCCTGAAACTCAGGCACCAGACCAGGGATTTAGCTCAGGACATTTTTGGCCTGTTTTCAATACAACCTTTGTTTGAGCTTCAACCCCAGGGTCTGGCACGTTTTGGCATTGGCAAGAGCAGCCTCCTGGACGGGGCAGCACTATATAAGACTGGCCCGCGCTGCAGGCTGCAGGTAGTTGGGAGGTCGTTCATAGGTACTTCCCAGGCACTTCACATGTAGTTCAGGAGGCAGGAGGTAGCCTTCAGGATTCGGCAGCAGCACTCTGGAGGAGCGCTGCAGGAGTAGTATTAGCGCTAGCAGTAGTCTTCAGCGCTGGGCACTTTGTAGCGTTAGCAACTTAGCAGTAGTCTTCAGCGCTGGGTGCCATAGCTAGAGTAGTAATGGAGAGAGAGAGATTGGGCGGAGGCCAGGGATACTTACCTGCAGCGCCGTTGCTCCAGCTTCGCTTTCGAGGTACCTGCAGCACAGCGTCATCTTCACAGGTTAGTACCAAACACATGAGAGAGAGAGAGTTCTTCTTCTTCCTCTTCTCAGTCCACCATCTCCTTCTCACCCTCCCGCTATCTGACTTCACTGCATCAGCAGACTACGAGAGAGAGAGAGAGAGAGAGAGAGAGAGAGAGAGAGAGAGAGAGAGAGAGAGAGAGAGCGAGCTTGGTGACATTTGGATCCAGACTCGACATTGGACTTCAGACATATCGAAGAGGGATTATTTTGGACTTGAAACGAGACTTGGTGTTGACGACTTTCCCATCTCCCCCTGCCTCTTCTTCGTCTGATCCCCTCCTCTTCGTCCGCGTATGTCTGGACCTGGCACCTCTTTCCTGTGTATAGCGCCAGGCTCCTTCACACCTTGTGATGGACATGATGCATGTTTGGTCGTTTAAACATTGATTGGGCTAGTCATTTGCATTCTAGCATTCTGCTTCGCTATCTTGTGCTACGTGAATGAGGTCAGTCCCGGTCAGGTCAGGACTTGTATCTAAAGTCTTCCCTGCGCTATAAAAGCACCATTTTGTATGTATGGGAATGCACATTGCTTGTTGAGATTCTACTTGCACTGCATTGTCCATTCAGTCCTTTTTATCACATTGCGGATCCTCGGTTATTATGTACATCGCCCAACTGGGCATGTAACAGTCTCTCTCTCTCTCTCTCTCTCTCTCTCTCTCTCT